CCCGGTCCACAATATATCCCCTATAGTAATGTAACTGGGATTCAAGAAATGGCTTTGAGTTACGCTGCGGCCAGACACAGGTCTCATGGCGCTAGTATCGTTATTGATTTTTGACATCGGCACGTTCATTGGTTGACGACGAATTCAAAACAATCTGATCGGAGCGTTACTCACTCCCACTCCTTCTCTTTGTTTAGATACTTATAAAAGAAAGAGATACCAGTTAATAATTCCTATTTCGAATCATCTTTCATTCTTTAGCGTTGAGTTTTTATAAGTGAAGCGTCAAGTGTCAGTGTTGACAAGTAATAATTTTTTGATTTTTTCTTCTACGAAATTTAATATTAATTTTGTTTCAGCGATATTTATTGTGATTTGTGTTGTATTAAGTGCTTTCTTATTTAATATGGGAAACAAAACGTACAACAAACTCAGAAAAAGATTAATCAAGGAGGGATTGCTATCTATGGCTGTCATCCAAGGGTCTGCGCCCCAGATAATACTTTTCCAGTGGGAAAAGCCTTTAAAATTCAAGTATAACAATTTTATGTTTCCGTTTTCCCTTCTTTTAATGTAGGTGCCAATTTTGAGGTAAGTTTGTAATAATTTTTCATATTTTTTCAGTTAATGCCCTCTTAATATTATAATTTAACTATGATCTTATGCTTTCCTATGGACACGATTCAAGGAGGGAGTCCTATGGCTGTCATCCAAGCCCTAGATAATAGTTTTCCAGTGGCAACAGCCTTTAAAATTCAAGTATAATAACTTACTTTTTTCGAAGTAGATGTCCATTTAATCTAATTTTTTTTATTTCACTTATTGATTTTAGCATTTATATACTGTATCGGCTAATTAACACTTTCCAATACGCTTGGCTAGAATCGAAAAGAAAACTAAAGAGTTAGCGCATTAGTTCGATCAGGAAACGAATAATATGAATGTTGCCTTGTGTGCTGTGTAATATGAACAGGCACACGGTGTGATGCATCCCCACGTAGCCGGCTGGCTACGTTCATAGTATTCTATTCCTTCTCCCACTAATGCTAACTCTTTGTAGTTTTTACTTGGACATTAGCAAAACGTATTGTACAACATTCGATAGCTGTCACTGTATTATCACAAACATCTCTTAATAACTAAATGATTTCATTTAATAGTTTCTTTTTTTTTTCAGTAAAATGGATATGGCTAGAGTTATCTTCGTCTTTAAAATATATTAAATAAGTTTTATAATTTTTCAAATAAAATACTTTATACAATTTTTTGTTTTTTTTACCAGAGCCAATTTTTTTTCAGATCTAACCTCTATAGGTAAAAAATAAGTGATTTAGGTAAAATTGAAAAGTATATTACATGTTCTTTTAAATGTGTTGTTAATCCAAATGCTGCTCTTATTGTAATAGCTAATAATAAAAGAATTAGTATTATTTTTAGCTATCAAAATAAAAATAGCGCCTGGATTTATAGCTCGTTTAATCGAACATGCAATATACTTCTCAATAATTATTGCCGAATTAATATATTTAAAAGTTCCCGCCATTCCGCGGCTGAAAATTTACAATTTTGGCGGGAAATTTAAATTTCGCCTTTAAATTATATTTGAATTTACCGCCATATCGAGTTAGTTGAGCGGCCAGACACAGACGCATTCTTGCGCTGCAAACTCTTTAACAAGTGAGATGCACTACTATAGGGGATATATTGTGACCCGGTCTCCCTCGACTGACGGGTCGGGCGATATCTGTTTAAATTGATGTTACTCAACTGTCCTCGATTCTGCCCCCCTCCTCTTTTTCCTTAACATAAGGTTTGGTAGAAATCCTTTGTGTCCGAGTACCGGAAGTGGATAAGGTTGGCTTTAGGTCTCTACTGGCATTTTGAAGTGTTTTGGCAAGTTTTACTTTTTCACTTAGGTCTGGCCCAAAAAGAAAATTTGATGGAGGACATTTTTCTAGAAGTTCTTTGGTATTTTTGTTCATATAAGGATATATAAAACTACGGCGGGCCATAGATAAATCATGAAACAAGTTTGTTAATAGACGACCTGCGTCAGATAAGCATGGAAGTAAAACTTCCTTATATGCGAGAGGTAGGTTTTCAGAATCAGATAAAATGTTATGTATACCCATACCTAGTGCCGCTATACCGGTACCCAACGTTGTCTGAAATTTTATGTATGCATCGTGTTTTGTGGTATGATTGTCTTAGTTTCCGGATTAAGAACCGGTGGAGAAAGCATATCACAATTATTGGGTAATTTATATTTTGTAATAAGAGAAGAAAATTCAGAAAATGCTTCATAGAAAACAGAATAAACGTAATCAGAACAATAGTTACATAATTAACCCCCTTCCCAATATTGAAGCAGATAATCGTAAGTATGTTTCACTTACTTTTATTGGAAAATTCTCATATCGTATAGCCAACTTGTTCAAAGATTCCTTCAGAATTAGCTTTAGAACTTCCAACTCCATCAGTAGCCTCTTTGTTAGGAATAAGGATAAAATTGATCCTATGGATCAGTCTGGTGTTTACAAACTAACTTGTTTAAACTGTCCATGCTCATATGTGGGAAGGACCTTTCGTAATTTTAAAATACGCCTGAAAGAGCACACACGCTGTCTTAACACTAACACTACTGGTTTTTCTCGCTTCACTGCTCATTTGTTAGACACTGGTCACGATTTTGATTCTAGCATTGGCTTCGACATTTTGCATATGACTTCTAATAAATTCCTTCTGAATAACTTTGAGAACCTGGAAATTTTAAAAAATATTAAATCTGGTCCCTCTTGCTCTCTGAATGCTCAAATTCAATTTATTAGTACCCCAACGTTTTCTGCTCTTATTTAAACTAATTTCTGACCTGTACTCCCACTCATTTGATTTTCAATCAGTTACTTACCACAAATTAATGAACTCCCTCCCAATTTAGATTTTCTTCTCTGTTTCCATTAATTTTGCCCACTCGCATCTTTCATATTAAATGTTTCCTTTAATTGGCTTATTCAAATTCTCCCACTTGGTTGTCATACGCCAAAATTTGACTTTCCTTCTTGACATTCGTACTTGTCAACTTAGTTTCCGTTTCCTGTAACAGTAATTTTTCTTTCGATTATCTGCTTCAATTTTCACTTTTACATATGAATTTTCATATTTTCTTGTTTAGTGTTCTATTTTTCTTTTTCTTTTTTTCTTATTAGTATTTTTTACTTTCTCATTACCAATTTAATATTTTTACTATTAATAAATTGCGCCACCGCCACCTATACTCACTTTCAGTAAATAACACCTTTTTTAGTACACTATTTATCCGCTAAATTTAAAATTTACAGTTTACTGCACTAATTCGTTAAAATCTAGATAGATGTCATGGGAGTCTGATAATCTCATTTTTACTTTTCATTTGTACTTAACGTTATATTCTTTAAAATTTTTTTTAACTGTTTGTGCTTGTAAAAACTATCTTGTGTTGTTTAGTTGAAAATTGTCTTACATATGTTTTAATTATTAATTTATTCAATCAGACATCTCGCGGTTTAACCTAACCTAAAAATATTTTTTAAAAAAATACTGTTTTAGGTATTACATGACTTTTTTAACTCGTTTGTTAAACTTTATGTAGCACTTCCTTTATGGAAATAGTCAAGGTGAGTCAAGGTCATTGTTTAATTTTCTTTTATGTTTTTTTCTGTTATTTTATATATGTTAATGTCCGTTCATACTTTTATAATTGTTTTTATTACAACTTACTCCTTGACATTCCATTTAGGTGTGCCTGATGATGAAGTAATAGCTTCGAAACCGGTCGCCAATTAAAATTGACTTGTGAGAAATAAAGGACCTTTTCTTTAACCCCTTATACTTAATTATAAATAGAAATATCTAATTGGATAAAGGATGTGATTATTAGTTCATGTTGTGGGATCTCGCTCTGCTCGTCCCGCAAATATTCACTCGTTACATAAAACAAGAACATTTCGCAACTGGTTTCATAAATAGCTATTATTTTTTAGAGATTAGTGTCATACATTTATAATATCATAATAATAATTTTTCCTACGACCACTTAGGAAAGTGACACATATCACACTATAAAGTCCTATGGAAAGTGCCCTATATCACACGCGTATGAATAAGAATTTACTTTCCACCCGAGTGAGAATATGTTACTTTCCGCAGTAGTTGTTACAAAATGTCAAACACCTAATTTCTATTTTGATCTATGTAATGTCCATATTAATACTAAAATCGATATGATTGTTAATTTATTGAAATTGTTGTAAATTAGATCCTAGATATTTATCTTTAACAATTATTATTAAAATAATTTTAAAATAACTAAGATTATGTTTGCTTTTTATTCTGGTTAAACATATAACCGATTAGATCACTCAATTGACGAAAGGCCTGTTAGCTCAGTTGGTTAGAGCATCAAACTATCAAATTTGCCATTTGAGAGACCTGGCGAACGACCGCGTTCGAATCCTGGCGGGGCCAGAAATTTTTTTTTTTTATTTTTTTTTTAATTTTTGTTTTTTTTTTTTTTTTGTTTAAAAAATATGAAAATTGAATAAATACGATTGTTGTTGATTATTTTTTTAAATACATTTTAATTATTATAATAACCTGGTTTTACATTTTTTGATGAAAATATTTTGTGGTCGTAGGAAAAATATTGTACATCACTTGTGTGAAAAGTGAATTTCCACACTCGTGTGATAGTCGCACTCGGCTTGTGCCTCGTGCGACAATATTTCCCACTCGTGTGAAAAATGTCACTTTCCACACTCGTAATGTAATATACTATATTATTTACGGATTTACAGAAAATAAACTTACATTCGTACAATAAATATAAAAATTACTAATAAAATAAAAAAGGCAAGAAAAACAAAACGAAAAAAGAGTAGTTTAAACATACAAACTTGATAATGATATTGATTCCCGATTTTTTAATTGATTTTGTTTTAATATCTTATTTTCTTTTGTTTCAGATATTCAAGAAATTGTGATTGTTATTATCAGCCAAAACAACACATATAATTTAGGTTTAGCACAAAATTTGACACAAGATGTTTATGAGCAGTCCATAGAACTATATCAGGTGCGTAATAAAATTTATATTATAAGACGCTATACAGGGTGTCTGTAAAACGTCTTTACAAAAACATACCACATATTCCTTAGACGAAAATAACTTTTTTTTAAGTAAAATTACCTTAGTACAAAGTTGCTTCGTTTGGGCTCCAGAGGGCCTTGAAGTTACAATTTTTAAATCGTTTTTCCCATATAAATTTAAAACGGCATATGCGTTTTATGTGGTAAAAAAAATGGTATTAAAATTTTGTCCGATAATAATACATAGGCGTAGAACTTGATTTTTTAAATAATTGCACCTTTAAAAATTCTACGCCAATAGAAGAAAAGGAGTTTGAGTATGAAATTTAGATTGCGCAACTCATTTACTTTAAAAAAGGTACTCTTGATAAGACTCGATTACTCTCATGGTTTTCGCTAAATTTCTGTTTTAATAATTTAGAGTGTATAGGTTTCACAAAAATATTTACAACATAATCAAAATAGAGATTTTACAAAAATTGTTCAAAATGTTCACCATTTTCACGCATACAAAGATTTATACGTCGAAGAAAATTAAAATGTATCCTTTCCATAACTTCTTCATCACCTCTAAGATTGTTTATTGCATCTTGAATACGTTGCCAAAGTTGTTCCTCATTTTCTACAGGTTCTCTGTAAACTGTGGATTTCAGATGTCCCCATAAAAAGTAATCCATCGGTGTTAGGTCTGGGGAACGTGGTGGCCAGTTTACAGGTGCGTCATTACCTCTGCCTATCCATTTGTGTGGATATTGTTCATTCAAGTGGTTTCTAACGTTTAAAGAAAAATGTGGTAGAGCTCCATCTTGCACAAACCACATATCTCTCCGAAGTTGGAGAGGTAAATCTTCTAACAACTCTGGCAACGTATTTTGTAGAAAATCCCAATAATTTTCTCCAGTTAATCTTCGTGGAAGTATGACAGGACCAACAATGAAATTACCAATTATTCCAGCCCACACATTAATTTTGAATTCGTGCTGAAAATGGTTTACCTTTATTGTATGTGGATTTTCAACGGCATAAACATGTTCATTATGGGTATTAGTTATACCTCTTCTTGTAAAACCCGCTTCATCGGTAAAGAGAATCTTCTTGACAAAGTTTGGATCTCTTTCTCTTTGCATATTAACAAATCGACAAAAACCCAAACGAATTTGAGGATCATGGACTAATAATTCTTGTACTGGTTTCTTATGGTATGGATATAGCAATTGTTCTCCAAGCACTTTATGAACGACATCTTTACTTACTCCTAGTTCCCTTCCAATTCGTCTGGTACTTAATTCTGGATCTTCTTCAACACGTTCCAAAATGTCTTCTTCATCTTCAGGAATCCTTACAAAACGTTCTCTTCCATTATCAACAGTGTTGGGAGCAAAGGAACCGGTCTCACGAAGACGTCTCTCAACAGCAGCAAAAGTTGGGTGGTTAGGTACACGACGATTTGGAAACCTTTCAGAGTATACCCTGACACTCTCTCGAGCATGTCCTTCACAAAATCCTAATGTCAGTAACTTATCGGTATATTCTGCATTGGTATATTGTACAGCCATATTAATAAACCACGCATTTGTTTTTTTAATTATTGAGTCAGATAGAACACTTTCAATCGTTAACAAGAGATTAGGTGTTAAAACTTGACAATATTTTTATTTAGATGAAACTATGGAAACCAACAATAAATGTTTTTCTATACGTATTGCAGGCAAATAATTAATATTCCTCAAAAAATCGTACATGGCAAGAATCGAGTATTTTTGTTAAAAGTCTCGATTAGAGGTGTTGAAAAAGATATGAAAAAAGTACATTTTTATGTTCTTCATCGTATAAAATTTTGTCTGATAATAATACATAGGCGTAGAACTTGATTTTTTAAATAATTGCACCTTTAAAAATTCTACGCCAATGGCAAAAAAGGGGTTTGAGTATGAAATTTGGATTGGGTACTCATTTACTACAAAAAAGTACCCTTGATAACACTCGATTTACTCTCATGGTTTTGACAAAGTTTGTATTTTAATAATTATTGTTTATGTTCTAAAATTACTAAAATGCGAATTTAGTCAAAACCATGAGAGTAATCGAGTCTTATCAAGAGTAACTTTTTTAAAGTAAATGAGTTGCGCAATCTAAATTTCATACTCAAACTCCTTTTCTTCCATTGGCGTAGAATTTTTAAAGATGCAATTATTTAAAAAATCAAGTTCTACGCCTATGTATTATTATCGGACAAAATTTTAATACCATTTTTTTTGCCACATAAAACTCTACCAATATACCAAATTTCAGCAAAATCGCATATGCCGTTTTAAATTTATATGGGAAAAACGATTTAAAAATTGTAACTTCAAGGCCCTCTGGAGCCCAAACGAAGCAACTTTGTACTAAGGTAATTTTACTTAAATCGACTTATTTTGGTCTAAGGAATATGTGGTATGTTTTTGTAAAGACCTTTTACAGACACCCTGTATATTATTCAGTGAACATGTAAAACTTATAAGTTATGTTTTATGTTATCCTGATATATTTTAAATACCAAAAATAAGCACATTTTTTATTTTGGAGTTCATAAAATATAGCTATTTCAAGTTTTTAAACTGTCGCCTCTGGAACACCCAACAGTTTCCAACACTATGGCGGCATTCAATTACTATTCCCATAAAAAAAAGCGACCTTTCTTCGACCAGTCCCAGTTCTTTTAGACCTATTGCTTTGACATGCACATTATGCAAATTACTCGAGAAAATGATTAATAACCGACTACTTTGGTATCTTGAAAGCCACAAACTTCTAGACAATACACAATCAGGTTTTAGACCAAACAGAAACACTATGGATAATCTCGTTATCCTTCAAGCAGAAATTGCCGACGCCATGGCCAAGAAGAATGAAGTCATCGCAGTGTCACTAGATATCCAAAGCGCTTTTGACACTACATGGAGATATGCTATCCTCGAAAAACTTAAAGAATTAAGGCTATCCGGAAATATTTTCGCATTCATACAAAATTTTCTAAATAACAGGACCTTTGCAGTATCTACAAATGGAAAAACATCTACTACCCAGCTTTCAGAAAACAGAGTCCCACAAGGATCCGTTTTGAGTCCTACTTTATTTCTACTTAGCATTAACGACATATGTTCCAGTTTACTTCCTCCAGTGAAACACGCAATCTATGCAGATGACCTAATTATCTATTGCCAAGGTAAAATCACCACTACCACATGCTCGCTACTTCAGAATGCCATAAATAGTATTCATAACTGGTCAAAACGATTATGCCTCAACTTTTCACCAAACAAATCCAAAGTTATTCAATTTAGCAGGAGACATAATCCCCAAAGACCAAACATAAACCTAAATGGAGTTCCACTAGAAGTAGTCGACCACCATAAATTCTTAGGAATAACTTTCGATAAAAAGCTTACATGGAGACAGCAGATAGAGCACACAAAAGGAGACTGCTTAAAAAGAATGAACTTAATCAAATCTCTAGCACATCATCAATGGGGGGCTGAAGAGAATATCTGACTAAGAGTTTATAGAGCATTAATCCGCTCCAAATTAGATTATGGTAGCATACTATATATGTCCGCAAGCCCATCATACTTAAAATCCCTCAACACAGTGCAAAATACAGCACTAAGAATTTGTCTTGGAGCCTTTAGATCCAGTCCTTCCGACAGCCTTCAAATAGAATCTTCCGAACCCCCTCTTTTTATAAGAAGACAACGATTATCACAATCATATTTTGCTAGAGTTGCCGCAAATCCGAACAACCCAGTCTTTAATCTACTCAAAAACACACAATCAGCTCCATTAAACCGACCTGGAACAACAATCACCTCTTTACAAACCCTGTTAAGAAACATCAATCTTACAGATACATTGCCAATCAACATTTCTAGTATTCCTCCATGGATTAAAAATCCTCCCAACTTTAATACTAGTTTATCATGTCACATCAAAACAGAAACCCCTAAGTCACTCTTCAAACAACTATTCAATGAATTGATAAATACTACTAAATTTGACAAAACTCTATTCACGGACGCTTCCAAAGATGAACACGGTGTTGGGACTGCTGTCACCTCAACGAATACAATAATAGCATCATACAGGCTACCTAATATCTGTAGTATACACACAGCTGAATTGTATGCCATTTCAAAAGCATTGAAGACTCCAATACAAAACACCAAATCTTTTGCCATCTGCACCGATTCTCTTTCATCCATCCAATCCATAAGAAACACTTATTCACAAAATCCGATAGTCCAGGAAATTCAAGATACATGTCACCAACTCTCTTCAAAAGGAACTACAGTTACCATCCTCTGGATTCCATCCCATCAGGGCATAGTAGGTAATGAACACGCAGATCAAGCCGCAAAAAAAGCCTGCCTCTTAGAAACAACGCCAGAAAACATTCAGCTTTTCCAAGACGTACGATCTTATATTAAACAAATCTCTCAAAGTACCTGGCAAAATCATTGGAGCACCCTCAATACAAAACTACATAAAGTTCAACCCAATATTACCACATCCATGATGCCTTCTATGTCCAGAAAAGACAAAACCATAATAAGACGACTTAGAATAGGCCATTCACGTCTCTCACATGGCTTTCTCATGGCCTCCGAGAATCCCCCTGTGTGTGAACACTGCAACAGCACCCGCCTCACGATAGAACATGTTCTCATGGAATGCAACCACTATAGTACCGCCCGACGTCAGCATAATCTGAAAGGAACTCTGCAGAGCATCTTAAGTTCTACCAATAAGTTCAGTGAAGTGATAAATTTCCTCAAAACCTGTAAACTGTACAATCATATCTAATACTAATATTGTAATTTACTAATTTTAACTAATACTTTGTATCTGTGTCAATGGCCATTAGCTGTCGAGACACATTAATTTAAATAAAAAAAAAAAAAAAACTGTCGCCTCGTATTTAAAATAGTAAGAGTATTGCTAAAATTT